CCTTGATGGATTGTGTTGATCTTGTCTACCTCACAAATCCTGCTTACTTCTGTTCCAAGACTGAGGCAGCTTCTTGTCAAGGTTGTTGATGAATGCGTGGTATGCAATAGCAGAAGATATTGAGCAGAATCAAGTGACTTCTACCACTTAAATCTGACGGTGAAAACCGATGACAAATTATATGTCACTCTTGACTAAAACAGGTAAAGACATCAAGACCAACTTTTCGTTAGGGGTAGAGTGGAAGCTACAAAGTCCAAACACTATTAGTTTTTTCACTTCTTTTGTGCGTCCAGTGGAAACGCGCCATTATTTGACTGACAGACTGACTTGTGATAGAAAGTGAGTTTAGCAGTTTATTTTACTGCTCGTGGGGAGAAAAAACATATCATTGGTTGTCTCCTACCCACTATTCGGCAGGAGACTATGCATGCCTCATGTGTACATGTGTGGCTGCAATCGGCTGCTATGAATTCAGTGCCAAGAGCCACGGAATAATCCCTGATAGGATGCGGCTCGAATGGGAGTAAGAGGAACTGTTGAAGCAGCCTCGACTAGTGAATCAGCCAGGACAACAAGACAACACACCTTACATACCTCACATAGCAAAACTGGTCCATAAGAAGATGGATACTTTAAGATAAGTGGGAGCTACTAGCTCACCCTCATCCTCTGTATCTCTTCCCTTACTTTTCTTAGGTGACGATTATCACCCCTTCCTATCCTTTGATGATAATCTGATCAAATGAGAAATGTAGTAGACAGCTGAGAAATCACGTTAGATGAAAACGAAGATGATCAGAGCTGGACTTGTGTCACATCGGGAAGGAATTATAATAATAATTACTTTAAAGAACGAAATACTTTAAAAACCTTATCCGAGTTATACCATTTTTATTACTAGAAACCACACAAACTTGTCCTGTTACCCCATAATCAGCAAAAAATATTTTGAGCATGTGGGAACATACTACTTAAGTCCATAATAAGTTACACCCACGCTACATACTACTTAAATCAGGAATCAAAAGTTTCGAACTTGGGAGGAAAATGCCAAATGTGCGACTGCAAATGCCTCCGACAAATTACGCAATTGACAGCTTTTTGCGTTTCATTCTGTGATTAATAAAGCTGTTCCCAGTTGGACAAGATTTAAACACAAATTATTCATTTTGTCCGCTCTTTTAAAAAAAGTCTAGTCGTGCGCTTCACTCGCAAATAAACATAAAACACGATTGCACATACATTTATTTTCCATTTTTAGGGCTTCGAATGAATGGTGAACAGGGATGATTAAAAAAAGGGGTGTAAGTTTCACTCGGTTATAAAGTAAGACTAGACTTCCATTTTCTTCTCAAAAAAAAAAACCTAAAAATCAGCATTCACACAATCCTGGTGCATGTATGTGTGGGAAAGCATGAGTTGAGAAGGCGGTCACACCTTCTCTGCTCCATTAAGGACTGACCGGTTCCAAAATCCACGTAATATGACTCCATAAAAGGAAGGGGGTTATAGCTGGCAGGCGACGTTAAAATGCCAGTTAAAGTGTTAAAGCATACTGCTTACATCAAACAGGCCGCGGTATTCGATAAACACACACAAACGATTTTATTACAATACTTGGAAGGGTATTGTTTATTCTCGCCAACTGGTCGGCATTGGTGTGATTTACCGTGGTGGTGGCGGCGAGAGCAAATTTCTCCGACAGTTCACAATTCTATCGTTTTAACTGTCTAACTAGCCTACGCCTTGATGTGC